TCTTGTTCACACATCCACTCAATACTCCTATACATCGTCTTATAATGTTTGATAGTGATCGGAGGCGTTCGTTCGATGAATAGTTTCGTCAGAACGGACATTTTGAATTGCAATGAGACCAGAATTCCTTATTTATACCTGTTATACGTCTTGGAATGAATACTTGTAATCGCTAGCTCTTCTAAAAGAAGCATATCAAACGTTTTCATTTATGCTAAACAAGATGGTTCAATTAAGTCAGCGATAGTCGGGAACGACGGAAACATATTACCGCGAGGGGAACGTGGTGAGGTGTTGGTGAGAGGATATTCGGTAATGCGAGGCTATTGGGACAGTGAGGATATGACCAAGTCGGAGATAACGCCTGATCGATGGTATCATACTGGGTTCGTTATTCATTATCATTGTTGTTAGTGTTATTATTATTGTTTGATGTTGAATAAATTGGCTGTAATTCAGTGATATTGGTGTAATGCACGAGAACGGAACAGTGAGTATTGTTGGTCGAAAGAAGGATATGATCGTTCGCGGTGGGGAGAATATATACCCAACTGAAGTGGAACACTATCTCTTCAGACATCCAAAAATTCAAGATGTTCAGGTTTGTTTCTTGTTCATTGCTTCATTTTGAGTGTTTTATTGAACAATTGATCAATTCCTATGAATTAAATAGTGTTCGATTGCGATATTAACGATATTGCAGATTGTNGGTGTGCCGGACGAAAGATACGGTGAAGTTGTATGTGCTTGGATAAGGCTCAGTGAGGCGGCGAAGAATGTCACCGAAAAGGATATTCAAGATTTTTGTAAGGGACGGGTTAGTGCTTTAAGTTGATGTTTATTGTTCTATCTCCACCGATGGCCATATATTATACGACAAATGCAATATATTGCGTCGAATTGCTAAACCACTTTCATATCAGTTATTTTGCTCTGAAATAAATGAATGTACGTGCAAATATTATCTAATTGATTCGAATGCTATTCACTTTTAGATTGCTCATTTCAAAATACCGAAATATATCTTATTCAAAAAAGAAAACGAATTCCCGCTAACAGTATCGGGTAAAGTGAAGAAGTACGAAATAAGAGAGCAGTCAAAAATTGAGCTTGGTCTTCAGCAGGTTCATTTTTATTTTTATTTTTTCGATTATTATGGTTGTTATCAGTATTATCAGCATTGTTTCACTCACCTTATCGTGAATCTCAAACAGTTCTCAGTGTGATCACATAATGACTGAA